TAACAAATGCTGGCTAGGATGCGGAGAGACTGGGACTCTCGTACACTGCTGGTGGGACTGTAAAATGGTACAACCATTGTGGAAAGCAGTATGGCGATTTCTTCAAAAGTTGGAAATAGAAATACCATTTGACCCAGCCATTCCATTATTAGGTATATATCCTAAAGAAGTGAGAGCCACGACAAGAACAGACATATGCACATCCATGTTCACTGCAGCACTATTTACAATAGCAAAAAGCTGGAAACAACCTAGGTGTCCATCAATTGAGGAATGGATAACCAAACTATGGTACATACACACAATGGAATACTCTGCAACCCTAAATAACCTAGAATCTGCAAAACATCATATAACATGGATGAACTTTATGCTGAGTGAAATATGTCAATCACAAAGGACAAATACTGTATTAGTCTGTTATTGTAAAAGTCGAAGAATGGTTTATAAATGGAGGGAAATTTTCTTTGTTGGTTACCAGGGGTGAGAGAGGAGGGGAAGGAACACTGTTAGATAAGTAGAGCTAAGTATTGATTTGGGTCAATAGAAGGGCAATGTACCAAATGTGAATGATCAACATCGTGGCATTAAGGAACAGGAAGACATAGAGAGGTACATGGGAGGTGCAGACAACAAAGATATACGGGTGGATAGATGGATGGACAGGCTGAATTATTAGGTATGTCTGTGCAGCAGGGAGTGTATCCAAGACCATGTATAGGGTTGGCAGACAATGGTTCTACAAGTGTACTTGTATGTTCTATAAGAATTCCCATGGGTATAGTAGAGCTGACAAGGGACAAGGTTGTAGTCACTTCTTGGTCACAGCCAGCTACCCAGAGGGAGCAAGTAGTTGAACCAGTGGGCTCGGGACTGTAAGCACAGGGGACATCAAGCTCAATTGGCATAACATACTACACAAAACATTGTTCCACCTCCTACTTTGGTGAGTAGCGACTGGGATCTTAAAAACTTGCAAGCAGCCATCTAGATGCAACAATGGGTCTCTCCTCATCCAGAGCAAAGAATGAAGAAAACCAAAAATTCATGGAAACAAGTAGTCCTGGCAACTGGTACACCACGCAATCATCAGCCTACACGACTATGAGACCAGAAGAACTAGTTGGTACCCTGTTACCACTGTCAACCACTCGGAGGGGGAGCTATGTAGGAGACCCTGGATAGAGAGGGAGAACAATGTAGAACAAAACTCAAAATCATTTGGGAAAGCTCAATTGGCATAACATACTATACAAAACATTGTTCCACCTACTACTCTGGTGAGTAGCGACTGGGACCTTAAAAGCTAGGAAGCTGCCATCTAGGTGCAACAACAGGTCTCTCCTCGTCAAGAAGAAAACCAAAATTAACGGAAACAATTAGTCCTAGCGACTGGTACACCATCCGATCTGCAACCTATACAACTATGAGACCAGAAGAATTAGATGGTGCCCAGCTACCACTGCCATCCACTTGGAAGGGATGTAGGAGATCCTACATAAAGAGGGAGAACAATGTGGTACAAAACTCAAAATCGTTT